ATTGCTGAGATGACTTGATGAGAGCTTTTATAATCGCTATGACCGGTGTCAATATTTTAACAAAGTTATTCTCAGAGTAAAATTTCGTTTTAAACTTCCTAAACGACATTCTGGAAGTAAAGATGTTGTAAGTATGGATACTTTTTTGAATTGGAAGTAACTTAAAATGCAATATTTGTCAGTAAATATCTATTTTCTAAAGAATGATAAGAGTCATAGTAGGGATTTTCTTTTTTGCCATAGATAGAATGTGAGTGTGGTTATTGGTACAGAGCAGATAAAGAACAATACTCACTCCCTACACTCCATCTGATACAAAATTTCAACATATTTGGGAATAGGTATGTGAAAAATGGTACAAGATTTACTTGTTCAATTTTTTTTACATGATATCCAATGTACATCATTTTGCCACACATCCATATCTCAGAATAGGAATAATAAAAAACATCTTCAATCTCTCGTATAAACTATTGTCATTATGACCTTTATGTTTGCAATGTTTCAAGTTGAAATTCAAAATTCAATTTTTTAATTAACTGAGAGCTACCACTGCAGTGTCCTAAAAGTGAAACTTAAAGATTGCATAACTCGGCATCAACAAGTCAGAAGCAAGATTTCTTTTAAGAGTATTCAGTTTCTATCGAAAAGCAATCTTTTACCAAAGAACATTCCTTTGAAAAAACATGTGGAAGAATAACATAGAGGGAATATCATCTAATAATATCGGAACAAGTAATTCTTGCGTCATTTTCATACGTATCTTCGGGCTTATTGAAGTGTTGGATTAGGATGTTTCTGGGCATAGATTCTCATTCGAATCACATAAGTTGAAGATTTGAGAATAAACGATCTATTGCGATACTTAGAAGGAAATGACAAACTTATTTTTTATATTGCTTAAAAAACTTACTTGTGAAAATTGCACTAGAAACACTCTGATGTACTCTTTCAAATAAAACTACTTTCAAGAATATTCTATCATACTGAGTCGACTAATTCGCCTGATCCACAAGATCAAGCTTGCTATTGATAGTATCGATAGTAAAAAGAACTCTAACAGAATTCTTATCATTCTTTAGAAGATAAAAATTTATTGGGTAGTGTTGTATTTCAAGGTATTCCAAATTTAGCAGAGTACCAATACTTACAACATCTATATTTTCAGAAAGATTTATCTGTTTGATCTGACGTTTTCAGTTTATGTCTAACTCAAATGCATGCACCTACTATAAAAATGTCAATCCAATCCGTCAGGTTGATAGAATAACGTATACTATGGCTCACGTGCTATGTCTCCTTAGAAGTACGGAGATTCAAAACTACCATGTCCACTCAAAGTGAAGAATTCGGTTAGGACTAGAGCGCATATGCAATTTATTTTTATATGTAATTATTTCTGAAAGATTTTGCGAACTGATAGTGACCAACACGCTCTTTACTCTTCCTATTGCAGTTATGGATACAATTATACCTTTACATTAGCAGTTACTTTCAAAGTGAAGGGTCTATCAGTTATTTTACTGTAGTCACTCAGCTAAAATGAAGCAAACATGTCATTTTTCTATTGAAAGATCTTGTAATGAAAATTGAAATCTTGAGAGACCTGTTGCAGCGTAACAACTAAAGTAAGATAGGAGCATGAACCTTCCAATCTTTCACTCCTAGAGTCTTTTCCTGACTACACCATATAGCAGTTTGCTAATCACCTAGGTGTAAATAAATGTTTGAAACCACTCAAAAATCAATGGTCGAAGTGTTCTTTGCGAAAGAAGATTATTGGAAAATGACAATTTAGTTGCACGCCCCACTCAAAGCCACTACAATTAGAATCAGGTTGTGCCCAAATAGCCAGAGTAGAATCTTAGATTGATGTTGGCTCTTTTTTTGGTTTATCAATACGTTAGGTTATTTTTCAATATTATGTGGGAGCGAAGTAGAAATTCTTATCATTGAAAGACACAGTTAAACATGTTCAGCAAACTAGATACTAGTCATCTGAAGATGCAAATTTGCAGAGTCTGAATTCGACTTGTGTCTTAGAGACTTGTTTGAGGAAATATTAAAACAAATACTATATCTTGTTTTCTAGACGTCCAATAAAGCAGCTCAGCTTGTGAAAGAAGGCTGTGCTTTGGCAAAAGAGGACACTCCGGACGCTTTCCTGAATGCTATCAAAAAATTTTCCGAAATCAATCCTCCTACTGTTGATGCGCTGTATCTTCGTGGTAATGCTCATCTAAAAATTGGTGGTTCAAAGGATAATCAGAAAGCTATTGATGACTTCTCCAATGCTCTTAGCATCTACGATAAGTTCAATCCAAAACCAACAGTTTCGAAACTCGAGATCTACTACAAACGAGCTTGGACGTACCATGTACTCGGCGAATATGATCAGGCTTTAAGTGACTATTCAGAACTTATTAATCGTGCTAGATGTTCGAAAGAACAGAGCCATAAAGATTTTTTATCTAGAGGTTACATCAGTCGGGGGCTCGTCTACGAATCGATGCAACTATTGCAAAAAGCGCTCGCTGATATGAAGGAGGGTAAGAAATGGGCAGAAAAGTCAAACAATTCCTATTATACTTATTGTCTGGAGCGAGTGCGTATTGCTTTGAGTGAGAGAAAAGACGAAGCAGAAGATGACGCGGATGCGGACTATACTGGCGTAGACAGTGAGAATGACAATGAAAAAGAGGACAAACTGAAGGAGGAAGAAGAAAAGCAAGACATACATAAGATCTTACCATCCGAGGAGACCGAGAAAAAAATGAAAACTGAGTCCAAAAATACTAAATACGATGAAAACTACTATTATGCTCTTCTTCTTAGTGAGCGAGGACACAATACTGAAGCCTTAGAGACTTTCAAACAAGCGTTTTCTAGTGCGACAAACGACTCTCAAAAGGCAGAATGTCTATTTCGACAAGGTCTTTGCCAGTACCAACTTGGTCATAAAGATGCTGCTCAGAAATTGTTCGAACAGGCTCAGAAATCGGATCCAAAACATGCACGAAATCTCTTTCGCCTCGGAATGATGCAGGCAGCAGACAGAAATTATAAAGAAGCTCTTCAGACTTTGACCACAGCATGTAAATCTGCGCCCAACAGTGTCGATATTCTATATGAGCGAGCAAGTGTCTTTGAAAAGCTAGGCAGGCTCGACGAAGCCATGTATGATCGTCGTCGTGCCATGCAATTAGGACGATCAGTTTCTGCCACAGTGATAGTCCTCCAAGATCATCTACGTCAGTTAAAAGCTGAGGTACTTCAACATGGGGAGTCAGCTATCCGACGCTTGAAAATGGGTTGGATGCAAGAGGCGCTACATCAATTTCAAAAGGAAACAACATCTGTTCGTGAGGAAATGGGCAAACTGAAGATAGTAGTCGAACGAAATAATGAAACATACAAGGAGGCAGTGAAAGAATACAGAGTAGCTATCGAAAACGATGTCGAACAACTATGTCCAGAAGCTCATGCACTCTTGGCTTTATGTCAGAGGAAAGAAAAGGATTATCTGCCAGCACATGATACAGTTGAAAATCTCTTTAAAATGTTATGTGATTCTTCTGACTCGATGCGAATGTGGAAATTATTCGTCAAAATGATGAAGAAAGACAGTTACTGGGATGACATGGGTGTTGCTCCATCGGAGAAAAAAATGAAGGAAATAGAACAATTGGATGCTGATTGTCGAGGGATAGTTAAGGACGAGAAGAGCTTCCAAGGCGATGGCAACGATAATCGTTTGTTGTTCTATCGAAAGTTTCGTATTCAATTGTCGAATGTTCTTGCAGCGTTTGCTCTTGCCGGATGTGACCCAGAAATCTTGGCACACAATCTGAAAGGTTCCTATCACCAGTAAGTAACAATCTTGTTGTTGCTATACACAGCAACAAAAAACAGAAATATTTTTGATTTAAGTTCATAGCAGCATACGTATATGTGCGAGAGGCAAAAAGAAAGATTTCTGTATTTCCCGAGTGCCGAATGATCATCAGAGTTACGGAAAAAATTTCAAAATCGCATAAAACGCGAACTGAGGCCAGTATTGAAGTCGTTATACGGGGCCTTTCGGCGCAGAACAGTCTCATAAAGGGAGCTGATAGCTAAAAATGGACGAATGTGACTCATACTAATTTATGCGCTAAGACATTGATTCATTCAAATATTGATATAAAAATGTAAGCAACTACACTACTGAGGATGGATGTAGTTGTTGATAAAGAAAACAGAGACGTCCACAAGCACCCACATCCACACCCTGCTATCATTCAAGTAAATGAAAATCAGAATGCTAAGTTTCATGACGGAAAAACAGAGAATGAAACTCATACTCTTATTTTACTATATTCCATAACTGACTTTAGAGCTGCGACGGTTATATCAGTTTTATCCAAAGGAGTCAGTAATGTGCCTCATATTGGCTCCATACTTGAAGCAACAGTCGGACAAGCTGCGCAACGACTTGAAGACCTAGATCATGAACTTATAAAAAACAAACTGGAAGTGATTAGCAATTGTGGTGACGTCATCGAGCTGTGCGAAGTATCTCGTCGAGTAGCACGACGGCTGGCTGATCGATACAAGGAACAGTTGATTCGACTTCACCGTTCGAACGATAGTGTCAAAGAGGGTTGCTGTTCATGTTGCAAGAGAATAATGCCATGCATCAAACCTCTCGATACTCGGTCTCCTGCAGTGCGTGTAGCTTCATTTGCCGTTAGCTACATTGTTTCAGCTGTGGTGGATGAAAGTATTAAAGTGCTTGGGCTAACGAAGGTAGATAGTAAAGAGTCACTAGTACACATGCTGACATGCCTCGTCTCTCATGCTCGTGGACCCAAAATGGCTATTTTAAAATGTATTTATACCGATCCAAATCTAACTTTACCGCTCGCTCCGAAGCTGAACGTTGAACAGAAATCGCTGCAGGAACAGCAACAGGTTTCTCAAGTAAACAATCAGGTAAAAGCCTTTTTTAATCAATTCAAATGTCGCCACAGGTATTATTATAGTCTCAGGATGTTTTGCACATATCCAAAAAACATTAGACGATGAAGTAACAATAATATGTCCACCACTAGAACAACAAAAGTTTGATATCATATTTGAGTTTAGTATGATCAATCCATATAAAACCATAGGTCTTTGCATATAACAGCTACCACAAACATAGCACACAAGCTTTTGTTGACAGCAAACATAGATAGTTGAGCATTCTTCTAAAATGAAGTATATTAGCAAAGAACTTAACCAATTCTTTTTTATGCAAAAAGAAACTAGACTATAACGCTGTTTCATTTGAGACGATGTACAGAGAGTGGAGATCAAAAATAATCTATTATGAATGTTCTCATGTTTCCCTCTCACTGAACTAATTACCATTCATGAAAATTTCTTTTTTCTTTCGATTTCACATAAGAGCAAAACATGTCGATAAGAGTATGTACATTGACAGTCATATTAACACTAAGAATATAACGATTGAATATCTACGGCATTATTACCCATCTAATCTGAACCTCGCGTATATGATTTGCCTAAGCGATAGACATCCATATTTTTAGCCCTATGTAGGCTGTAGTTGAAATATTGTCTCGTAAGAACCAGAACAGCTGGACGGTTAACAGCTTTCAATAGATCTTTTAAGAAAAAAACTCAGCTTAACTCGATGTTAAACAGGATATCACATCGACTGTGGTTATTACATCAAACTTATCTGAAGCTGCTGGTTCACTTTCTGATTCTGCTTGTCTACCACCTGTTGTAACAGAACACTTTTTACTGTACGAATTTTTCCGAGCTCCTGGCATTCGTCATAATTCTGATGAAGATCCACAATTTGAACAACAACAGCAACAGCAACAGCAGTCAATTTCTCATGTTAGCGAAGAAGAAAAGACAACAAATCCTGAAGAACCAGGTAGTGAAAAAGAAGAAGATGAACATGATGCCAGCCAATGTTCGCCTTCAACCGGTCTTGGAGGTATTACACAAAAAGAAATAGTAGTAACAGACAAAGAATGGGCTGGTTGCCCGTATATGAACACCAAACTGTATGGATATCGATTTGGTAGTGCCAAGGAAATCGAATTTCTCAAAAAGGAATTCGATTCTGCTGTTGAACAAACTGACATATCTTGTTCTAATTATTGTTCTTAAGAATAATTTTCATTATATTTAAGCTTTTAAATACTGATTTTAATGCTTGAAAAGAGGTTTTTAGATAAAAACAGTCATGAATGAAAGACACAGTGCATATCGTCATCGATCGCCGCCATCTTCGTGAGTTTTTTTCTTTGTTCTGCAAAATATTTTAGGGATATTACTTGTAGACCTATCGAACCTTATCGAAACATCATGGAAAGCAATCCGATCGAAGATCATTTCACCGACAAACGCGTTCAAAAACATATGCGTCACCACGGATTGGTTCGTCTTTTTCTTTCTCACCCATGATATCATATGCATTACTTGAAACATAGATTCCTACGTCGGTCAGCAACAAGCAATCTGAGTCACCTTCCCTAGATCGTGATGAGCACAACATTTGGAATTCAGAACGAGAAAAATTCAAACGATTTCGGCAGAAATTCATCAGAGACATTGTCTACAGGTCAGCGAGAACATTGAACCTTTTATAGAAAATTATGGTATTTGTTTATATAAGCATAGTATTCAAGAAATTGATCAAGCAAGGCAAGCTGAATTTCGCAATCAACTCGAACTATGGGACAAAATGTATTCAAATCGTATCCAACGTATTGAAGTAGGCTAAACACTATTGACTTAATCCAAAATATTGTGATTTTGTCTATTCTACAGGCATACGAGAAGCGGCTCGAACGTAAATACGGTTTGTTGGTCGACAGAGAATTGAAAAAAGTATGTTAATAAAACTGAAAAGATTACAGACTATAGGTCATCGACAAAAAGCTATGATCATTTGAAAAACTTCTATTACTAATCAAATATTTCAAAAGAAAACTCAAATTAAAAAAATTCTGACCAGAAATATTTATGTATATGTCTACCTCATGATTGATCAAATATCTATGAGTCCTTAACGATGATAGAGATGTCCTGGTGAAGACATACAATTTAAAAACATAAGTTTACCATAGGCTTTTTCGTCTCACAAGTACTTTTTTTTTTTATAGAACTTCAAGTTGTTCTAGTGTTTCTAGTGTAATTCCTATAGCATGAAAAAGTGAAACGTAATGAAAATGCTTTTATCATGAAGGTGAATCCGCGTCACGTCAGTCACAAGTGATGAGTTGTCGTCAAAGCAACGTGTCAAAATGTCCATTGAAATCTATCTGAGAAACAGAGAGATCTTATCACTAAAGGGAACAGTGAAATTTTCATTTTCGGATTTTTTAATCGATCTATAAACAGTAAATATTTCAAGCATAAAAGTTTGTAGTTAAAGAGCCTATAAATCCTGCGAAAACCGCTAAGTCTAAAAACAATTTCTAGTAATCAAAACTAATTGCTCCTCTTATCTATTGAGACAAATTTGGTGATATGTCCCACAGTGACAGTAAAATGAAATTTTTGTCTCAAAATACTTCGACGTGCAATTACAATTATATTTCACAAGACAGCTCATTCACTGTCTGGAACTTAGAAAATTGTACAAATCGTGAAGTCTGCATAGAGATAAAACTTTGGACTGAAAACCTTTAGCTCAAGTTGTCATCAGCAACACGCAGCTTACCACAAAAGCTTTCAATCCATGGGTAACAGCAGAGCTCGAAGATATTCTGTTTTCTTCGACTTGCCGAGTTGTAATTCGTAAGATAATCCAGGTAATGCTGACAAGCAAATTAATTCAATCAATAAACAGAGCAATGAAAAGAAAACTAAATAGAATTTATAAAAATATTTGTTTGTAATATGATTCCAAGCAGTGTGGTATTCTGTCTAGAGAGATGAGGTACTGGTTTTCTAAAAACACTTCATCAGTACAATCACAAGTAATCGTCTGAATCTTGTATCATTCACGTTTTTTCTTGAAATTATGTCGGGCGACAACCCTGTCGCTCATCCGCTCGATGGTTTTTTTTCTGAAACTTAGGAGACTTCAAGTTTTGGAATATGAAAGGAATTATTTGACTTTTTTTACTACTGATAGACAAACATACAAATATAATATTTCTCGAGAAAAATCAAGAGAACCTCTGAAAAGACTGTTTAGCAACAGCATCATTCGATTAATATACAATACATTCAATAAACCTATCGACCACTTTTTGTACCTTTTTGGGCTTCCAAAACTTTCTTACTTAAGGAATGAAGAGCATTGATATATTCTGGTTTTGTATGAGGAAGGTCAATGATTTGCATTTTAATTGCTTTGAAACATCTTATATTTTTAGGAATTAATTCGAGAGAACTTATCTAGAATACCAAATGTACCTTCAGTAAAAATTCCATTCCGGACTCCTGATATGAATCCGAACGCAAAACCCTTGAAAAGAAAACGCATACCTTCTGCTCCACTTCCCCGTCCAGGTGTCGACAAAGCGAACCACTTTGAAAAAACACCTGTTAGTTCGGTTTTTGTGGACAACACTGATGAAATCGCTGCTCTTCGCTCAGAAATGAACAAACTCCGAGAGATGCATGCAGCTGAAATATTACAGTTCAAAAATCGTCTGCGAGCACTCGAAACTGCACCAAAGTCTACTCATATTCCAATACATTCAACTATTCCAGAACCTGGTATTAGTCAGGAGGAGCTGGAAACGATTCGAAAGAATATGAACCAATTTAGTAACTCTTTCAAAGAGTTTGATACAAAAATGCAAAACTTGGAAGCTACAATTACTTCGTGGAACAGTAAGATTGAAGAACTCAAGGAAAAAGTCGATAAACAACAACTAGAAGTTGAGCAAATGAAACATGATTTTGCAGACAAACTCGACATGAAGATCAAAGCATTACGCGAAGAAATTTTAAGTTCAGTTAATGAATTCAAGCGCAACATCCATAATCAACAACTTTCATTAAAGAACGACGTAGCAGCACTGACGACCACAATAGAAAAGCTGAAAGAAGAAGTAAAAAGACTCAAGGCACCAGAGACAAGAAAAGAGGATGCATTGCCTTATGTAGAGAAGCTTGCTCCTGTAGATCTGTTTGAAATCGACTGGACAAAATATCAGTAGTAAAAAGAGAGATAACTATGATTGATCAATTGTGTTTGTTATCTTACATTTATCCTTGAAGCGTAACAAATTGAAATAAATCAGAAAATCGAATGATTGCTAAAAAGATCAAGTCGAAGATTAAGGAATGAAAAGATATTAATTGTTTTTGTTGAGTTCTTATGCTGAAACAAAACAGAAAATACATTGGTGTAGAACAAATTTTCAGTCTACATACTATTGTCAAACATGTTTAGATAATTACTGGCTGTGGTGATATATTTTTGTACTTAAAGTTACAGATTTCACAACCTTCTCTTTTTATAAGGGACATGTCATCGGCAGCACAATATGGTGCACAGGTAAAAACTGAAAAATTAGTTCTTCCATATAAAATGATGATTGTATACATCCATAGTATTCATATCCTTATTGATTGATTTAGAAAAAAGTATGAAATCGTTATCAAAAGCATATACTTTTTTTGCAATACGGAAAATTGGAACGATTTCTATTCTGATACTATTGAAAGTGTTAATATATCCTTAACTCATTGCTACAGCTATAGAGTGTAATTTTCTTTGCCATTTTTTTAAAGTGCTTCTATATTTAATGTACGATTCTTGCAACTGATACTGTATGTTCTTCATCAGATGATTCTTTGAAAAAGAATATTAGACGACTAAAAAATTTTCTCAATGGCATAAAAGTAAGATTTTAATTGCAGTTCATTATATTCTCTAACTTTATTTTAATCATTGTGATCACGAATTAAAAGTATCTGTGTTGAAGATTGTGCCAAGGAGAAGCCGAGTTTACACGAAGACTATCATGATCTAGACTAGATAACGACAGCAGTTCTCAGCATGACATACTCTTTCTTTGTTCTTTTTATTGTATGAAAGCATGTTTATCACCAATAAAAAAGTTTTTCACAAAAATTTTGTGTATTTCTATGTACAGTTATTTTTTGTAAGACATCAACAATTAAGTTTTGTCTATAGAACGTAGAGAACTATGAGCCTCGTAAGAGAGTGTGTAATTGAAGATAGTATATTGTATATATTTGAAGTACATTAGAGCTTGAGAAGTGATTTGCCATGCAAGTGGACTTTTTCATTCTCTATCATGCTGTTAGCTTTCCTTTATGTACAACCGACCAGAATTATCTATGACTGTCTATCATATTTGATTCTCTTTTTTCAATAATGAGAATTACTTTTTCCGACAAAACAGCATATGGTTTTGGCAACTAATTCTTTTTGTATTGATGTAGCTTCACAGAAGTGCCACAAGAGTAGCAAACTAATTATTAAGCGAACAAGACAAACAACAAGATTGTGTTCGGAGCGATAAAAGAATATGGTGCAGAGAAAAGGATCAAACATTTGAAAAGATGTTGAGCGTGGGTGTGAGTGTGAACGAGGTCCAGGAGAAGACCAGCACCTACATTGTATAACCACACCTACCTCACACTCACAATTTCTTGAAAGATTGTTTATCTGATTGACGAATAAAATATTCTCTGAGAGAAATTCAATTGCATTGTTCAATAGTAATTCGAGTCATTGTTAGGCGTTGAATAGAAAGTGCTCGCTTGGAAATAACGCCATTGATAGCAGGCTTATCCTCGAAAATTAATTTTTCTTCTTCCAAATTGTCTCCACGCATTCGAATAAGATTAACAGCAATAAAATCGTCATATGTGAATGGATGTACTAATATGTTATCAATCCATTGAGCGACAATTGTCATGCCATTACTCTCATCAATATATAGCATGTCTGAACCTTGTCCTCGACAAAATCGGTATTCTTTCTTCATTTGAAGAGTTCCATTTGCTGAGTAAGTATTTCGCCACGTTGTGCATCTATTGCTAGCCAATGGATAGGGTCCAATTTCCCATGTGACGAATAATTCAGGCTCGTCTGAAGATTTCGAAAAAGTCTTGAGTAAACCGCTCCAATTACCACTCCAATTAGATTGAGTTGGCCCCGATGGGCTGGCAAGCCAATCTGTGTAATAAACCAAATTTTTCATGCCTATGATCACGAATCAATAACAAAGATACGACCAATTAAAGACATGTTTTAATAAAGTTCATAGTTAATCCAAGAATAACTTGAAAGATTACATGAAATTGTGAATGAACATTCTGCAATAGACTCTTTTAAAGTTTGAAAGTATGTCGAAATTATTATGAAACTGACACTATTCAACAGTTCACCAAAGAGCGCAACTTATGCATCTTCGAATATACAGTGGCATCCTTAAATGATTACGAAATCTCAATGAATTAGACTTATTGATCCAAAGTTCATGTTATTACGATCATTTATATTTTCTTGCAGTTAGTCGGATCGAACTCATTAGTGATATGTTTAACCAAAATGGAACAGGTGGATTGAAGGATTCATGAGAATGCTATTTACATAAATATTGAAGACGAATATGAATTACGGACGTTCCTTCATACCAATCTAGTGGTCATCTGCTAATTACATGATAGTATTCTTTTTTTTCTTGCGATTCTTTAGTCTACAGTTCTCGTTATTTCCTTTTCTGTGTCTTCCATGTAGATGCAGATATGCAGAACTGACTAGTAAAAATTCTGTCTAGTGTTCATCATTTGAATCTCGTATCAGATGTATGAAGATCTACGTGATCCATAGTACAAGTGAAATCATTCATAAGAGAACAATCATGATATTTTATTAATCACACAATTCCTTTTTTTTTCTTTTTTATGATGAAAGCTTCGTTCTTAAATTCTATTGATATTAATATTCCAGTACACTTCAAATATTCATAACAGAACTTCTCAAAATCTCAAACTTCTTTATTATTCAGTATATTTGTCAGTTGAAACGAATTATTCAGTTATCAGTGAAAAGTTTTAGCATGAACTAGTCTTCCAGCCAATATCACTTTCAAATAATCGAACTTTGAGAATAAGTCAGCATCATTTACTTGAGAATATGTTGAGAATTGATTTCCAAATAGCAATATTGAAAACTTCGTCTAAAGACATTTTTTAGAATACTCTGTTTATTGCAGATGTGTCATTTGTTTCTGATCTTCCTCTACCTCAGTATGAATACTGAAAACTGAGACATGTGTTCAGATGTAAACTTCCTTGTTTTATTCACAAAGTTATGAATCGTAATATTGAAAAAATCTCAAAACAGCGCAACAAAAGATATGTTCTAACAAATATCTTGTTGTAGAATTACAATTACAAAAGAAACTTCAATTACTGACATGATCTTAGGGAGATCGGAGTGTTTCATTCTGAAAATTTGATAATTTGCAAGTAAAGATATAAAAAATGAAAATATTCAGCCGAATTTCATTACTAGTGAGTAGACACCTGAAAAATTAATACTTCTCTATTTCACAATTAATCCTTCATAATGAGAATTTTAGGGTAAATATATTATATGATTTTTCGTCGTTTTTTTTAATAATCAAAGTTTAAGGCAAGAATATTGTTGCACATTCATAGTGAAAACACAGTGCAACAAAAAGCCGAATCGAAGTTTGAGTTCAATATATATGTATGTCTATTATTAATTTCAAAGTTTTGAAGCTATCTACGCTGCATCAGTTGCATTATCAGGAAGGTAAAGTAAGTGATATAAAACGTTCTATGATCAGTACCTATTTTTTTATTCAAATTTGCACTGTCTACGTACCATTTATAAGTTTTAGTTCATTAGCACTAACATCGACCATAGCAATGATCAAGAGACACAGAAGAATGCGTTGCATATATTTCGTTGATCAAAACAAAAGACATAGAATAATAAGCGACCTTGTTGCAGTAACAAATGTGTTTAAAGTGTATATATTATACAACTTTTATCAAAGAAATCGCTTAATCCGAAAAACGTTTATTTAGGATTCATATGTTGAGACATTACTTTTTTTTTGTTTCTCTGTTAAACGACAAATATAACTTTGATTGAAAAATACATATTTACCAAACAATATTGATAAATAGATTACAACTGTCAAACATCATGACTCTTTAGTTTCGCAATACTTTATTGTTTCAATGAATCATTGATCTTTTCATTAGAACGCATGTACTATGTATTTTTTTTTTCATTTTTATAAACTCAACATATTATTGAATATACAGTTTGAACTTATGAAAAACTTTAGGCATTGAATATAAAAATCATGAATCATTTTTGTATAAACGACTGAAACCCATGAGAACTTCTTTTAAAATAAAATTGTTTGTTTTTCTCGTTTAAAATACATCTCAAAATCTAAAAAATGACAATATCGGAAAATGAAATATTGAATATTTCTATCATTAATAAGAAAGCTATAGACTTCCCACTCATGCACTCATGATGTCACTACATCAATGAAGTACACAATTGAGTTTTGTCGTTTAAAGACCCATTTTGAATCTTTAAAATGAAAATATTCAACATAAATCTCCAATGATTGTGAGACAAAAGAGACAGTAGGGTGTACGTGTGGGGCTCTTCTTCTTTCACATCAACCTACACCTATACCGACCGTACTTAACCTTCATCTTATAATCATTGACTTTAACATCATCACTTGATAATTCTGCATAGAGTCATTTTTCGTAAAACTAAACATTATGTAATATGATTTATCTTCATGCCGTTAAGAGAGATGCCAGTAATCTCTCGCAACTGATAAACCAACGACACTTATTGTCAACATAATTGAATACTAATGCATAAGATCGTTCATTTAATACTCGGATATAGATAGCACGTGTGGCTTCCATTGATGACCATCGTCAAATATTTAAACCATTGATCGATCCACGAAGTCGTTTTGTAATGCTAATCATATATTTACTTCTCTGGGTCGAAATATCTATTAGTTACACGAGAGAGAACGTCCTCAGATTCTTGCTTCCTCATATAGATATTTTTGCTGTTATCGTTACATATACATTTGTTATTCATTTATTTTACTGTTGGTTTCCAAAGAACAACAACAATATTAAATCGTTGTCTGAATGAATTACAACTCTTTAATTCAAATTTCGCTTTCATCTATGTATTTGCTAAGAGATAATATTTCATATGGGTTGATCGTGTCAATAATATGAATGGACTCGGTCCGATTTCACAAAAAAAAAGGAAAGAAACGAAGCAGTATTTTGCGCAAAAACTAAGGTGTGTTTTGTATTCTCTTATGCTGATAATTTGAAAAAATGAGAACAAATAGCACTGTTACTGTCCAAGGTAAGTTGCTTCAGTAATCTGCGAAGCGAATATTTATTTGTTACTATTTTCTCTATCACATTGACAAGATGAATCCAGAACGAAAAAGTACTTTATTCACAGTCTTGAAAGCTTTTTCGCATTGTCATCATACAGCTTTCATCACTTTGAAAAGTATATAGAATGATACAGAAGAACAACAATCACGATGAAAATGAGTTTTATATTGTTCGAACTATTATCAGGTTGTCGAACCGATTGGTTTTCTAGCGATACTCGTTCGAATTTATGTTATCCAATTCAATGTATAATTCAATAGATTGATTTGTGCCATTTTTCAAACAGTCTATTGTACAAACACTGGTGACATTACAATTGAGAATTCATATTGAGACAAACCATGACTCTTTTTAGTCAAAATACAGTCGATCATTGCGATATATTTCGTGTGGAAAATCATCTTGAGTTCAGCTCTTCATTCAGTCACCTGATGAAGACATAGTAGCGGAGCAAAGTATATATATACAACAACATGAGAAAAAGTTTTGCCTAAGGTAGATGTACGTGTGAGTATTCTCTTGACACATTTAAAGCGATCTACATGCTATCGGCGTTTTAGAACTCTACTCTGAATAATTTTCTTTTTAATGACATCAATCGTAGAGAATGTGCATGATAAAATTCACTTTTTCTCTGCTTTATTACTATATATCAAAAGTGGATGTCTGTTTATCAATATTCTCTTACATTGCGTCTCCATTTCATTCATTCGATAGCAATATATACATGTTTTTGCATGTCGTTCTCTTTCTTTCTCTTTTATATTTTTTTCGTAATGTAAAAGAATGTAACATGTTTATTTGCATTTCAGATCATTAAGCTTTTTAAAGATTTTGTGAATTTTTTTGTATTAAAAAAGGAACATTATGGGCTTTGATAAAAGATTTTCAAAACGGGTCACAGCAATCTTAGCTATAGCTCAAGTTGTTCTAACTGCAGCGATAATTGGTCTAGAATTTGGTTCTATTTATTATGATGTCGCACATGGTACCATTTGGGCTGGCTTTTGGGCCAGTCTTGTCTTTATTAAAACATTTTTGATGATGTTCTGTATTAGTATGTATTTTGCAAATTCTTATTTCCATTATATTACTTTTCTCTTCTATTCATTAAGCTTGCTGTTGTCGAGGTCGATGTTGTGCTACTTATATTGTAATACTCAATAGTACGCAAATATTATTTTGTATGTATATATACATTATGATTTAGTCTGATTTCATTTTAGTATTCAGCGGAGCATTGGCTTGTGTAATCATTTACTTTGATGCATACTTCGTAGATAATCTTTGCAAATGCTATTTAGGTGATAATTTATGTTGCAGTCTACATGGTATGAGTAGTTTCAATTCAAATTATGGTAACATTGTGAAAGACTGCATACCGGTTTCTGTAAATGGAGTGCAAACTGTAGTTGATTCGTGTTATCGTTTTCCTCCAACGAACAAATTGGTTTTTCTAAAAGCACAAATAGGTTGTGCCGTTGGCATGCTAGCTGTCTGTGGCCTATATGTTGTTCTCTATTTATTTGCCTGTTTTGGTATTTGTTTTGGTCATGATTAAACAAACTTCGAAAAACAAACGAAACGAAATTTTAACTATATATTCAATTCTTCTTCTCTAATAAGTTCTTCCTAAAATATTTTTAAAACAAAACCAAGTAAAAGCCGTAACTTGTATCGTCGTATTTTTTGTGGAACAATTTATCTCTACTGTTAGCGGCTTATATTACATCAACATGTTAACAATCATTTAATGCTT